GGACACACCTGAGGGGGCAGGACCCTGAGGGGGAAGGGGGTCTACCGGGGGAGGACCTGTCGCGAGGAAGAGCGGGGGCGAGGGGAGGGGGACAGTGCGGTAGGGGAAGAGACGGTAGTACGGAACCGACTCTTCAAACGTGACGTCCTGGGAGGACAGAACACGGCGCGAGGTGGGGTGGTAAAACTGCCAACCAGGCGCGTCAGGGGGGAAGCCAAGGAAGACGCAGGGAACAGCGCGGGGGGACAGCTTGTCCGCAGACAAGTCGCGGACAAAAGCTCGAGATCCCCAGACACGGAACGCACACGCATTGCCAACCTTCCCCGTCCACCGCAGAGTAGGGGAGGTCTCCGGCAAGGAGACCCAGAGCTGAAAGTTGATCTGGTGCGCCGCGTACCGAACCGCGAACGGCCACAGAAAATGGGGGGCAGCCGCATGCATCATGGACGTACGAGCGACGTCCATGACCATGCCAATGCGGCGCTCAGCAATCCCATTTTGCTGTGGAGAGGCCGGAAGCGTAAACGTCTGGCAGATGCCCTGTGCACGACAGAAGGCCCGCAGAAGGTCAGAGGAAAACTCTCCGCCTCTGTTAGAGTGCAGACGCAGAACAGGAAAGTCCGAGCCGAAACTGACTATGAGCTGGAGACGAGCTGCGCGGATCCAGTCGATCAACACCTCAGTGACCTCACCCTTGCTGCGCAAGGGGAAGACTGTGGTGTAACGCGAGTAGTCGTCAACCACGAACAGGAAGTAACGCTCGTGACCCTGTCCACGGACGCAGGCGGGGCCCCATACGTCCAGGTGAAGCGTCTGCAGCGGAGCCTCTGTCGGAGGAAACTCGGAGGAGTGAGGAGCGGCGCGCTGCCGCCCCTCGACGCAGGGAACGCAGGTAGGGGCAGGCCCTGGAGGAAGAGGAGGGAGGGACCGGGGGAGACCAGAGACAAGGAAACGAGAGGCCATGCCTCTGAGACGAGGCACGGAGGGGTGACCAAGGCGGTGGTGCCAGAGGAGAGTCCGGTGAGACAGGTGACAACACGAGCAGGGGGCAAACTCAGGACCAGACCTGGACGCTACAGCAAACACCTGACCCGACGCAGCTACCTGACTAGACTCAGCAGCCAGAGGAGACTCAGTAGTCAGTGTGTACAGGCTCGACCCCGGCTGACGGGTAAACGTGGCCAAGTGTCGGCCCGTCCGAGCACACGTACAGTGTGTCACTCGCTGACTCGCAGGAGTGAACTGGTCAACCCCCCCATCCTGTAGGTCAGCACCACTCACCAGGTTCGTAGAGAACGAGGGGAGGTAAAGACCAGACAGGGTGCTAGAAGGGGCCGCCGAACACGGTAAGACAATGGAGAAGTGGGCAAGGACAGGACCCCCAGAGGGGTCTGCCAGCGAGACTGCAACCGGCTGACTAAGCGGCGTGAGTGTGGTGCGGTCTCGAAAGAAGGAGCGGGAAGCACCCGAGTCAAGGGTGAAAGTGTGCAAAGCCTTAGCCGACATGGTCCCTAAGAGAGCAGACTCACCAGCATCTGGGGCAGCACACTCACCAGCACCTGGAGCAGCAGACGCACTAGCACCTAGAGCAGCAGCCTCACCAGCACCTAGAGCAGCAACCTCAATGCTCGGGTCAGGCGGAACACACAGGTAGCAGTCACCCTCATCACTAGTAGACACAACATACATGGCAGCAAGAATAGCATCATAATCAAGATCAAAGATAGCAACCCCCGACCTAAGCAACTCGCCCCAGCGAGAGATCTCAGTGGCGTCAGGGAACTGGAGACGCTAGAACTTTGTCAGGCGGCCGAAGCAGCGCTGGGTGGTGTGCGGGCCACCGCACGGCTCACCAGTGCGGTCGCCGGTACGCAGGACGTAGGCACAGACCAGGACCCCCACCCCGCTGACGCGCAGCGTACCACTCACGAAGCTGCTGGGGGGGCGGTGTCTCACGAGTGCCTGCTGCTGCTGGCGCTGACCACCACCGAAGCCGCCCCGCTGCACAGAGCCACCCCGACCAGCTCCGCCGCCGCCGCCGCCACCGCCGCCACCACCGCCTCCTCCGCTCCCACCGCCACTGCCGCCGCCGCCTCCGCCTCCACTGCCGCCACCGAAGCCCCCACCCCCACCACCACTCCCACCGCCACCCTTACTCCCTCCGCCGCCTCCACCGCCACCTCCACCGCCACCTCCACCGTCCCTGCCAGCTCCTCGAACGCCCTTGCCCCCCTTGCCCTTGCCGTTGCGGCGTCTCCCGCTCGGGGCAGATGCAGCGCCGACGGACTCAGTGCCAACGAGGTAGACCGCAGCAGCAGAGGCAATAGAGGGCAAAAGGGGGGAGGGGAAGCACCCCTCAAAGAAGGGGGCACGAGGGTCACCACGAGAGGCTACTACAGTGACTATACTCTTCTCAGCTGCCAGGAGGCGCTCCTCGAGGAGGTCAACGGTGAGTGTGGTGGGGCAAACAGAGAGGAAGTGGTCCCTGATCGGGTGAAGGGAGTCAGGGAGCCGGGTGACTAGGTAGTAGAGGGTGATGTACATGGGGGGGGGGGGGTCTTGGCGCAGAACTCAGCAGGAAGCGTAGCACGGTAGCGGGAGTCACTAGTGCGGAGGTGCGTAATGAGGTCAGCGACTGTGGGAAAGGCGGCGAGGTGAGGGAACAGGTACGGTAACATGAGGCGACTAAGGGCTGTAGTGGCAGGGGAAGAGTACAGCGTCGTACAAGGTCTTAGCACTCTTGTACTGACTAAAGTGCGCGCGCTGAGTGGACGGCAGGTGACTACGCACAGCAAGACGGGCAGCAGCATCGCGTGTGGCCCACTGTGAGCGAACAGTGTTGTCAGTATCGGCAGCAGGGGTAGCAGAGGCGCCAGACGTGAGATCAAAAAGTGAGAGATCTTTCCTATCGCACTGCAGGAAATGCTGCAGATCATCGACCCAGACCTCAAAGTCGACAGCCCGACCCTCAGCATCAAAGGTGAGAGCATTGGGGGTAGCCGTGACAGCATTAGCAGCAGCAGCAGCAGGCTAGCAGTAGCAGCAGCCAGAGGGGCGCGGCTCGGCGGTGCTCTTACCAGGGGCGGGTGGGTAGAGGTCCGCAAGCGCTGGGGCAAGGCCGAGGTGCGCCGGCAGGAACAGGGCCGCGACAGGGCGGCAAAGGAGGGCCGTGCCTCGGCTGCAGGGTAGGGCCGGGACGGCGGCGGCGGCTGTCATTGCAGTAGCAGCGGCGGTTGTTTGAGCAGGAGCGGCGGCGGCTGTCACGACAGCAGCGGCGGCGGCGACCGGTCGTGGAGGGGCCGTGGAGGAAGCAGCAGCGGTAGCAGGCGCGACGGCAGCTGTTGCTGGGGGGGCGACGATGGGGCAGCAGGGCCGTGAAGAGCCAGGGAGGGGCCGCTAAGGGGCCGCGGAGGGGCCGTGAAGGAGCCGCGAAGGGCCGCGGAGGGGCCGCAAAGGGGCCTCGAAGGGCGGCGAAGGGGCCGCGAAGGGCGGCGAAGGGGCTGAGAAGGGGCCGCGAGGGGCCGCGAAGGGGCCGCGAGGGGCCGCGAGGGGCCGCGAAGGGGCCGCGAAGGGCCGTGAGAGGGGTCGCGAAGGGGCCTTAAGAGGGCGCGACGGGCCGCCAAGGGCAGGGGACGCGATGGGAGGGCAAGCGCACGGGGAGCGACTAGGGCAGGCGCGAAGCGCGCTCCGGGCAGGTAAAAAAAAAATTTCGCTTCAGTGGTGGACCCTAGGAAACGTTCCCACTAGGGAACCTGCTCTATACCATGTGAAATAACGAGGAATGATTGACAAGGAAATAAGTTGGGTACAAATATGTAACCCTAGGAAACTGTACCCCATACTGTCTACCCCACTACAGCCTAGAAAGACGATAGCATGAATGTTTGACAGGTGGTATGCATCACCCTGAATATATTATGTTGTTACGTAATCACGATTTGACACGCCGAATTCAATTCCAGAAGAAGGCGACGCACGCGCTGTAGTAGGTGGCGGTCAAAACCCTCAATAAATAATAAGAACTCAAAGTTAGGTTTCTTTTAGCAATTATCTTTTACTTATGGTTCGGCTTGTTTGCCAAGTCGTTTGGTCAGCTCCGGGCTGAAATCCTACGGTCGAGATTTTCCGCCCCTACTTTGATCACCCTTTTGGCACTGTTCGGCCCCAATATGGTCTTTTCCCCCTTCGAGAAGCCGCATGGTCTGCTCCCTATCAAGTTGCCACACCTCTACAGTCTTCTGGATGACGGTAAGCTCTTCACGGTCACTTTTGCTAGTTCACTGTTGTCCCTTCGTAACCCCTGCAGGACGCAGGTTCATGGACCTTTGCTCCCGTGGCCACGTCGCAAACCTCATACGCACGATTCTACAAGTCAGAGCACATATATCCGGATCTACGGTGCTCCAGCGCCCTACGTGGCCTTACAACGCTCTGTGATTCGTCCAAAGACCTCCCATCACCATTTTCGGCGCCGCAGCAAGGCCGATCCTTGTCAGCATGGATCCTCTCGTCTTATTAAACTTTCATGGAACTGCCCGTTTCTCCTCATGCCGCATGGCGGTGCCGGTCGGCAATTCGCAACCAAAAGGTCACGCACCACACGTCACTATCGGCCCAGCTATGGCTGGATCTGGCTACCGCTCACATCACTCAGCTACCTTGAACGGAATGTCTCGTCAACATTGGTCCTGCTGGCACCAGCAACCAACCCTTGCGGCGGATTTGGCCGCTGCATGGCCTTCTTCCTCCTCCACGGCTCTTCCTGCTTACTCATCGCTGAGCAAACCGTGTTCCCACGCCTGTTCTCCCTCGAGAGACAGCGTGACCCCTCTGGGGCATTCCTGAAGCTCTTAGGCCATTGCCTGTGCTTTGAACCACGTTTTACCCTACACCCCGGTTCCCCCGGCTCCGTTTCCCCTTGCAAACAACTATCGCAATGGAACCGGCTCACGGCCTACTTAACCTGCTCTCCCGGACTGCTTTTCCTTGACACTCCCACCATGGCATCTGCTCCTCTTGCGTTTGATGCTGTCATGGCGGAGACCGGAGGCCCTATCCCCTCCGTGAGTGATCTCTTGTCGGATGACAGTCATCAATCTCCTCTTGCTAAGAAGGTTTGCACCGGAGAGGTTTCGTCCTCCGCGCAGCCTGTCCCTGTTCAGCCGTCTGAACCCGACGGTGGGTTGGACGACATCACGCTCAACGCGGCTGACACAAGCTCCGCGCCACTCCCTATGCTGAACGGCCCGCACCAACGACTGCGTCGTAACCGTGGTATCGTGGGTGTGGTTGTTGATTCGCTGACTCGTGATACGCTCAACCTCGTTACGATCATCTTCCCTGACAGCCTTACTGAATCTCACCGGAGCAAGATTGTTAACCGTGTTTGGCTCGGACTTCGCCCTGCGCAGTTTCCGCACTCTGGTCGTGTCCCTAACTTTGAGTCATTGGCTGGAGAGATCCTGCGTCTCCCCCGTTGCTCCTACACGCGCCACATCTTCCAGCTGCCGACGCGCGACGACGCGAGGTGCTTCTGACGTGTCTTCCCTATGACCTACACCGCCAACGACGTGTCGGTTGAACTGAAAGTCTCCGATGACCCGGAGCCCTCGTTCACCGCTGCAAAGGCGCGGGGCGATCCCCACCTGGTCTTGCGCAACGTCCCTCTGGGGTATTCCCTCGAGGGGATCCGTCGGCTGCTCACTACTAGCCTTCGCGAAGGCGAACGGAGGTGGCTCTCTGAAGTTCGATCCTTTCACCGTGTTCATGACCCATACGAGGAAGTGTCCCTTCCCCAGATGATGGGTATCCCCATTGCAGATTGCGAAGATCAGCTTTTCGACCGCATCCCCGCCATCATCTGGCTTCCGGACGTCACCGCTCCTATCATCCTCAACATCTCCCGCCACAAATGCGAGATATGCACGAGTAACCACCGCTCTCGTGATCACGCGTGCTTCGCGGTTGCTCGACGCTCGCGGATCCCCAACCCTTACCAAGTCTCCGTTGGACAGCTGCAAAACATCAATGGTGACTCTTTTGTTCTTTTGCATCTCACATATCCTGCCCGGCTCTCTGATCTTACCCTGCACTACCTCAACCCCCCCCCTTGTGTCTTGCGGTTCTATCTATACCTACTCCTCTTGATCAGTTGCAAGCAACTTGGATATGGTACTTGACACGCTTTAAATCTCAATCATCGTTTTTCCCTAACCGCGTGTTAGGCCTTATGCCTTCCATAACCTTCCACCCTCACCCCTCTCCTATGGTTCTTTTCTACTCTTGTTGCCCCTCTCTATGTGACCACAGCAAAGCTGCTCGGGCAGACCTCCGTTCCCCTGGCAATCAAGGCCGACCCCGCATCATTTACATCGGCCTGGGAGACGATATCGAAACCTGGACCTGCACTCTGTGCGACTGGAGGAATAGCGCTTTTGGTCTTCAATCCTAGTATCTCCTTTCTCAATCGCACCACCACGGACGATGGGCGTATGCTTGTTACCCATATTAGTTTCCTGCAAGAACAGCTCAAAATCATTAGTGTTTATGCGCCCAATTATCTCCCTGAACGGCGGCAATGGTGGGAGAACACTCTCCTACCCGCCCTTGAAGTACCCACCCCGGCAGATGTTACATTAGTCAAGGGGGACTTCAACAATGTCCTCACCCCTGCGGACAGAAACAGGCCACTCAAAACCTGCGAAATCTCGGAAGGTGACATGGTTGCAGAGATTCTAACTGCGCACAACCCGGAGGACCCCCTACAAGAACGCCAACTTGTCGACCCGGTGTTTACCTTTAAATCTTCACGGCAGGACGGCTCCTCCTCGTTTTATCCAGCCTCTCGTTTAGACTGAATATACATCAGCAAAGCCTGGCTCCCTCGTATCCTCACCGCATCTCATCAGCCCCTTCCGCATTCAGTTTCTGACCACTCTCGCTACCCTGAAATCCGACTGGGCATCAACAACCCCAACTGCGCCCCCCGCGCCTGGCGCTTTCCCCATATACTCACACAGCGGCCCTTCATATTCCAACTTGTACAGGAAGCATGTCACCAGCTCCCCTCGCCACTCGTGCCGGAACATTGGGACCCATGGAAACACAAGTTATGCGCCTTTCTTAGACAATACTCTAAACAAGAAAAACTTCGCGTCAAGAAAACCACGTCTCACCTGCAGAAAGAAATCTGCAGGCTCCAACTCCACCTGGTCCGCACCCCGCAAGATACAGAAACAAGGGTCGCCCTTGATAAAGCCTCAAAACAACTCGATCAATACATTGCATGCAAGGCTGCAGACATTGCCATGAAGGCGAAACTCAAGGTAGAAGGAGCGAAGGAGATGGGTTTACCCTCCCTCCTCGTCGGACTCACCTCCAGGAACAAAGCGGCCCAGATCACTCGCCTCACGCTTCCATCAGGACAACAAACGACTGACCTACGAGCCATGTCGGACCTCTGCTCCAACTTCTACGAAAACCTCTACAATGGAGGTACAGGTACTTCTTCTTCGACCTCCTTCTGGGACCACATCTACCCCTTCTCGCTCCCTGGACGCTCGTGCATCAGAATCGCAGCACCCATCTCCCTCGCTGAAGTTGAGGCAGCAATGTCTTCCCTCTCCAAAGGCAAGACACCGGGACATGATGGTCTAGCCGGTGACTTCTACCACACGCACAGCTCCACCCTCGTCCCTATCAACGGGAGTGTTGTTAGGCTCCGTCCTCGCTTGGGCGGAGCCAACCTTGTGGTCGGGTGTGTGGGGGTTGCAGCCAGCCTGCGGCAGTGGGCACGGGGGCCACTAAAAGGGCGCCGAGCTGGAGGGTGCCTGGCTGGAGGGCACCGAGCAGGAGGACGCCGCCCTGGACGCCTGGACGGCAACCTGGGAAGCTGGACGCCGACCTGGGCGTCGGTACGACTTCCCGGGCGTCTAGTCGACGTCGTGGGCTTCCTGGGAGGCCAGACGCCGACCTGAGCGTCTGGTCGGCGTCCTGGGAGGCTGGAAGACGCTCTGGAGGTCTGCACGGCGTCTTGGGCGCCTAGACGCCAACATGGGGGTTCGAACAGTGTCTTGGGCGACTGGACGTCGGACTGGGGACGCCGCGCATAGGTGGTCGGCTACGGACTGCGCCGGTCAACCAGGCGTGGTTGCCCTGTCGACCGGGATACCCTCGCGACGTGGGCAAGTGTCGCCAGGGTGAAGTCTGCGAGGCCGACCTCGGAGGTGGTATCCCGAGGTCGACGTGGCTGGTGGGCGTAGTCGCTGGCGTGGAGTCTGTCAAGCGTCTGCGGTGTGCTCGTGACAAGGTGTGGAGCGCCAACCAGCTGCACGCACCTGCGAAGAAGATGCACCGTTGTCCTGCGGGTGCAACACTATGCAGCCGACTTGCTACAGCGTGTTGGAATCACTGAACAGGAATGGATGAACTAGCAGTGAAATGAGTACAAGTACCTAACCCTAGAATTGTGTACCCCCTATAGGCTAACCCATTGTAGCCTAAACTAACACAACATATATAATGTTTGACACACCCCCATAGGCAAAGTGGGGAGAACTAGGGGTCACAAGACCAGTCAAGGCAAAGCAAGGCACAACAAGCTCATGGTGGATCTCAAGGATACCACACAAATTCCGAGCACAAGCAAGTGGTCACAAGACCAGTTCACATGCAGGTTTATAATAGAGCAAAAGGTACAATGATCACAACCTAACAAGAGTAAACATGCAGGTATATATATAGAGATCACAGTACAAACAGACTCAAGAAGTAAGCAAGTGAGGTCCAGTAGGCACAAGGCCTAGAAGAGTGCAAAAGCGCTGATGGTCACAAGGCTGAAGCGCCTTGGTGAACACATCAGCAGTGTTGGCCTCAGAGGCCACGTAACGCAGACGAAGCTGACCACGCTCCTGCAGCTCTCGAGCAAGGAAGTAACGCAGAGCAATGTGCTTCGTTCTGTGCTCCAGTCTGTGCTCCTCACACGAGGCAATGGCTGCCTTGTTGTCGACGTACAGCACTGGAGGAGAACGAGGCTGCTCTCCAAGGCCGGTCAGCAAGTAGGTGAGCCAGCGTAGCTCCTGGGCCGCCATGGCTGTGGCGTAGATCTCAGCCTCACAACTGGAGCTGAGAACAAAAGAAGAGCAAGTAGAACGCCAAGAAACAGAACTAGAGCCAAGACTGAAGGAGTAACCCTGAGACGACCGCTAAGTAGCCTGGTCGTCTGCCCAAGAAGCGTCTGAGTGCCCAGTGAGAACAACTGGGACTCGCCCTCCAAGCACTAGCCCCATGCCCGACGTACTGCACAAGTAGCGCAACACCCTCTTAGCTGCATCCATGTGCTCCTTCCGGTGACGGCCGGGAGCGACATAGCGTGCAAGAATGCTGAGAGGGTATGCAAGGTCTGGTCGAGTGCAGGTCATCAGGTACATGAGGCAACCCACAAGCTCTGAATACGGGCCACTCGGCTCTACGGACTCATCCGAAGGCAGAGCTGAGAGCGAGTGACCAGTAGGAAGAGGAGTGGGCTGAGGCGAGGAGTACGTGAAGCGAAAGCGCTGAAGGACCTGCTGCACCATGTGTGACTGAGTCAAGGTGATGGTGCGGCGTGCTCTGTCCTGGGTGATTCGCAAGCCAAGATAGCTTGTCAGTTCACCCAGGTCTGTGCACGTGTGTCTCTTCTGCAGCTCGGACTTCACGTGGGCGAGTGCCACAGTGTCAGCAGTAGGAAAGACCAAGTCGTCGACGTACACAAGGACGTAGAACGGCGGCAGTGAGCTGTCGGTGCGTAGAAACATCGACGGGTCAGCAGTAGAAGGCGCGAACCCAAGAGCCGCAAGCGTAGTCCTCAGTGTGTCGTGCCACTCACGAGGCGCCTGGCGGAGACCGTAGACTGGCCGTCGGAGGCTCCACTGGGTACCAGGAGGGAACGACCCAGTGAAGCCAGGTGGACGGCGCAGCCAGATCTCCTCGTGCAGGCTGCCCTGCAGGAAAGCAGTGCTAAAGTCAAGCGAGTGGAGCTCGTAGTCACGCTGAGCGGCGACGTGCAGCAAAACCCGAAGAGTGGTCATCTTCGGGGTCGGGGAGAAGGTCTGGAAGAAGTCAACTCCCTCTCGCTGACTAAAGCCTCATGCAACGTAATGCGCCTTGAAGACAGGCGGAGAGCCCGGCGGCCGCTTCACCCTGAAAATCCACATGCCACTGACGATGTTCGCCCCAGGTGGGGGAACCTCGTCGACGTAGGTGCTTGTGGACTTCCAGGAAGCCATCTCTGTGTCCATGGCTGACTGCCACTGATAGGAGTAGGGACCGGCCATCGCCTCTGCGTAAGAGCGTGGGGTCGGGATGTCTAGTGCATCCGGGTCTCCCTCAGGGGCAACAAGCATGGACACGAGATGGGGCAAAGCGGCAGCAAAGCACTCAAACTCCTCCTGCCTGTCCTCAAGGACGTCAATGCCAAGAGCACACTCACCCCCGACGGACGGAGGACAGACAGATTCAGACTCAGCAACTAGGCTAGCAGCGTAGTCTAGACGACAGCGAGCAGCAAAGTCGACAAGCTCAGCAACTAAGGCAGACGCAGCAGCAGACTCAAAGGAAGGGTCAGTGACAACAGTAGCCAGGAGACGCGTGACAGTAGGACTGGTAGCACGAAGAGAGTCTGACCCAGGGTCAGCAAGAGCAGGAAGAGAGGAAGCAGGAGGAGACGGCAGTAAGACACGCTGTGGAGCAGTGGACGGACGAAGCGCCATCCGGTGAGTGCCTGGGACAGCAGGAAGACGCTGACGCTGGACTCGACTACTAGAGAGAGCAATGCGGACAGGCGACTCAGGACGAGATTCAGGCGACGCAGGACGAGACGCAGGCTCGCGCCGCTCAGTAAGACCTCTAGTCGGACCAGTGTAAGGAGCAGGACCAGGGAGAGAGGAGGCAGACGGTAACGCCGACAGCAGCTGGACAGGCGGAGGACACGCTAAGGAGGGAGGAGGAGAAGGAGGAGGAAGGTGACCAAGAACCTGCTGAAGGAGCGGAACAAAGTACGGCAGAGACCGAGCAGTGACACCAGAGCCAACAGGGACACCCGCACCAGGGTCCGCAGCACCAGCAGCAACTCCAGCGCCCACGTCCTCAGCACCAGCGGCAGCTCCAACGCCCGGGTCCTCAGCACTAGTAGCAGCTCCAACGCCCGGGTCCGCAGCACCAGCGGCAGCTCCAACGCATGGGTCCTCAGCACCAGCAGCAGCTCCAACGCCCGGGTCCTCAGTACCAGCAGCGGCTCCGATGCCCGGGTCCTCAGCACCAGCAGCAGCTCCAACGCCCGGGTCCTCAGCACCAGGAGCAGCTCCAGCGCCCGGGTCCTCAGCACCAGCAGCAGCTCCAACGCCCGGGTCCTCAGCACCAGCAGCAGCTCCAACGCCCGGGTCCTCAGCACCAGCAGCAGCTCCAACGCCCGGG